ATTTTTACAGCATTGGAAAACATAATTAATTTTTGTTTGACCTCCTGCACACCATATTAAAACAAAACAAAAACAAAAAATCTATTTTCATTTATTTTTGAAAAAGCTCCAGGGCGCCGCAAGGGGGATGCCGCAAGGGGGTTTAGATGAAAACATACTCATTCTTGTGTCTGTTGGCTAACCCAGATCTAAATTTTGAGAACCTTATTAAGAATTAAAAAATGTACAAAACACTCCCCTTCCAGTCTGACTGAGCTGCAGTTAGTTTGATACGGTCTAGGCCTAATGAAAAATTACATAGGTAGATGGTGTAAACCCTATTACAGGGAAAGAGCAAAAGCAACCCCACTGGAATATAAACTGCAGACCAATTTTATGAGCTTCACGACAAGGCTGAACACTGTTCAGTCCTCTTCAATTTTTATCCGCATTATTGAGAAGGCCCATGGCAACAAACCTGGTTTGAAAAGAACACATGCATTTAGGTGGTACAAGTTTAGACAGAGGCCCTTTTTATGGAAATACTGAAGTATTTGTCTGCAACCAGTCTGGCTCTGTTTTTTCACCTGAGTGGCCTTTTCTAGCACATCAGGAGGTTCTTTCTTCACTCTCCCCTCAGCATGTAAATCCAAGATTACTGAAGAAAAAAAGCATGTCCTGGTTACTTGAAATGAATGATCTTTAAAAGATACGACAAAGGTTTTTGAGTATGGTACAGAGCAGTTCCAAAAAAGTAAAAAAAAACAACAACAAAAAAAACACTGGACTTTGTTTCCCAGTTTAAAGACATTTCACTTCCCATCCAGGAAGCTTTTTCAATTTAAAATGTCAGAAATAGTGTTGAGTTCTGGGCTTTAAACAGTAGCATGCAAATGGAAACGGACGAATGGGTCCACCCCTTTGGAATGAGCGTCGTTTGGCTTCTTTTGTTAGCCTGCAAAGCCCCATACCTGTCTCTGAAAGGGTTGTTGGTACAGAGGAGCAAAACCTGAGGCTAATTGAACATTTTTAACACACACTTTGACATTGAAAAGACTTAAAGTGGACTACATCTCAAATGGTGCATAAAAGTTTATACCAAACCAATGTTTTTCACTCTTCTTGTTTATTTTAGGTCTGCAGAAAAAGCCAGTGTTGTAATTTAAACAAGTTGTGAGCCACCCACTGCTAAGACGTCAGTTGTCCTTTCTATTGTTGGGATCTGTAGCTGTACCACCTTCCTCCAGCAGAGTGCGCCGTGGGTCTCCCAGAGCTGGAGTCTTCCAGCACACCTGAGGCACATCTTCTCATCAGAGACCTGCCCTATATAACCAGCTGCCAGACCTTGCTTCGACGCCGCAGTGTTGACCTAGTTTGGTTAG